GCCAGCTTCAGCACCCTGGAGGCCCTAGAGGTAGGTGGACGGGCACAGCTTCGCCCGCGTCGGGGCGAGAACGGGGCCCGGAGTTGACGCGTTGGGCGGTCCCGGGACCTCTGGACTTGTGACCGCCCGCGCCGTGGGCACCCCTGAGGGAAGCCCCGGCCACTCGGTCCCCGTTCCAGGGACCCTGGGTGCTGACCACTCTCCCAGACCGTCGCATCTGGAAGACACAGCAGCGTTGGGTGGGTTTAGGGACGTTTTGAGTTTCAGAGGCAAAGAAATCCACGCTTAGAAATCGTGGGCTGTCTGACAGCACCGTCGGCCTTTTATCAGTTGTGTTTCTGTTGCCAGCGTATCGCTCTGCTTGGTTCAGGACGTGCTAGGGAGCAGTGCTGGATCTTAGGGAGGTGGTGATAAAATGGATACTCCGCGGGCCATCCCGTTCCCCCCTTCCTTCGAGGGCTCTGCTGAGAAGGGGAGAAGGAGCGTTAATCGCAAGACCCCTCTTGGTGACTGTTGCTTGCTGCATGGTTAATAGGTTGGCAAAAAATACTGCTTGTCTGGCTGATGGACAATATTTACTGAGCAAATACTGCCCCTCTTGCGTGAACCCAGCTGAGCAGCGAAGGAAATTAAATGCTGTCCCAGAGTTGTGGCGGGCACTGTCTCCCCAGGACGGGCCTGGGCAGGAATGCTAGCCAGGTGTCCTCCACCAGGGCAGAGACCCCCTCAGCGAGGTGTGTCTCGTGTGGCACTTACTTTGGGAGACCCTCATCTGCTGGACTTTGACTCCCAGAATCACCCTATTTCCAACCCCTCTCACTTTTCCAGGGGCTTGGGAGCCCATGGCCTGAGATCCCCCTGTCTCAGAAGCTGAGCTTTGGGAAAAGGGGAGATGGCTACTGCAGGCCCCTGAGGCAGCAAGTCCTCTTCAAGTTCTCATCCAGACTCTCCAAACTAGAGAGCCTTGGGTCAGGGCTGGTGTCCAGGGAAGTGGCCCCAGAACAGGTGCCGCTTCATGTCCCGAGTGCACTGGCAGAGCTGGGGCTTCGTGTCCCGAGTGCATGGGCAGAGCTGGGGCTTCGTGTCCCGAGTGCATGGGCAGAGCTGGGGCTTCGTGTCCCGAGTGCACGGGCAGAGTTAAGGCTTCGTGTCCCGAGTGCACGGCAGAGCTGGGGCTCCTGTGGGCCCAGGACGCAGGGGTGGTGCTAGGCCCATCACACAGCCTGGCCATCCTCTGTCGTGCACACTGGGTGACTCCAGGGCTGGCACACGCCATGCTCTGTGCTGGGACGGGATGGCCCTGGGGCTGTCTTCTGCTCTCTCAGTGGTGATAATGACATGGACTGCATGTGTACTGGGCACGTACTGCAAGCCAGGCCCTGTGCTCGGCTCCTGCACTGCAGCTGAGACCGCGACGATGCCCACCTTCCAGAGCTGTCACTGCCCGCCCGCACCTCCTGGGTCCCTAACCGCGGCCTCCTTGCTGCTCCAAGCGGGTCAGCCCTTGTACCCTGCTGTTCTCTGCCTGCTTGATGTTTGGTGCCTTTGTGTCTCTGCAAAAATGTCACCTCGGACTCCTCTGAAGTGGTGCCCCCCACCCCTGTCAATGTTGCCCACCTTCTTCCTGTCATCCGCGCTCTGCGAAGCTGTTTTAGGATGTCTTTGCTCTCCATGTTTGTCTCCCGCAAGAACTTGTAAACTGAAGGAGAGCAGACACTGTCCTCTGTGTCTCCTATGGGGTCTGGTGCTGGGAAGAGCTCGGCGTGTAGAAAGTGCCCAGGAGACCCAGGGCCAAATCCCAGGCCCATGTGCTTTGCCCGCAGTGGCTCTGACTGGCTGTCCACCTGCTCCAGCAGGGTCACGTGCCGCCACCTGCAGGCAGTGGGTTCAGTGAGTTTTGGTGACTTCGACTTAGACCAGCGGTCCCCCAGGTCATAGTGAGACAAGTCTGCTTCTGCGTGGCATTAACACAGCCACGGCACCCCGGGGTGGTTTCATGCCCCTTCCTCTGCCCTTCGGAGCCTGCCTGGGAAAGTACGGGGCTTCTGCACAAGTCATAACCTCATGATCGTCCCACACGTGTCTCTTGGTTGACCACATTTTTTGTCAAAGTGAAGTGGTTTTTCCCCAAAGTTCAGATAAATTATAATCATATAAATAGTAATGACTGATTAAGTAAGTATTCTCTCCACCTGAGCTGCCCTTCACAGGCATCAACTCGTTTACTCCTGGAGGAGCAGCCTGCCCTCGGCTCTGCCTCCTCCTCTCACAGTCTCTCTGTCCCCACCCACGTCTTGGGGGATCTTCCTACTCTGGGATGCTGGAGGATGGGACACTCAGGAGTCGGAGGAAGCCCTTGTAACCCCAGAGGCTGGCTCGTGCCCGCGGGACACTGCAGTGATGTAAACAACCAAACACAAGTGTAGACTTGCCGGGAAGGTGTAGCCTGCCTGCGGGAGTCCTGTTACCTCCCCCCAGACCCCACATGTGCTGGGACCAACTCCCAGCCCCGGCCCCTGGGGCAGGCCCCCCACTCACAGCCCCTTCTTCCCCCAGGCAGACCACCCTCCCTGCCTGTCTCAACAGGGCCCCCTCGCCCTGTGCCTGGGGCAGGTCTCTGTACCTCTTTTGTGCCTCATGCAGGTCCCTGCCCCTTTTCTGTGCCCTGGATGGGACACATAGGTCGTTCTGTGCCCGAGGCAGGCCCCCACACCCGTTCCATGCCCTGGGCAAGCCCCCGCCCCCTTTCTGTACCCTGGGTGGGACACACAGGCCATTCTGTGCCCGAGGCAGGCCCCCCACACCCGTTCTGTGCCCTGGGGAAGCCCCTGCCCCCTTTCTGTACCCTGGGTGGGACACACAGGCCATTCTGTGCCCGGGGCAGGCCCCCACCACCTGCACGTTTATATGTGCGCCTGTAGCAGAGGAGGAGTCCCCCCTTGTCCTGTCCCTGTGTCTGTATGTGCTGTGAACACAGCAGGCACTCCCTAAATGTTGGCGGTGGTGGTTGTGGGCTGAGGAGGGCCAGGGTCTGGCCTGGCTCAGGGTGTGCCTGCAGCCCTGGAGACAGCATTAATGATTAACGGAGGATGGAGACGGGAGCCCTGTGGCAGGGCTGAGGACCTGCAGAGGGGCGTGCTGGACTGGGTGTGCTGGGGTGGGTGGGGCGGTATGGCTGACCTGAGCCAGCCGTCTTGATTTTCTACTCTCAAACCAGGGGCAGTGGTTTGTGGGGACAGGAGGCCTGAGGAAGCCCTGCTGGCCTCTCCGTTGCTCTTGCTCTGACCGGGGACTCTGGGTGCTTGGGAATATGGCTCTTGCTGTCCCTTTTGTATCCTGTGACGGCTCTGTCCCCTGGTTGTACTGACCAGAGGACACAGGAAGCCCTCTGCCCTTGAAGCAGTGCTGTGACCGTACGTGCCCGGTCAGTGCTGCTGTTCTTTGCCTGGGGTCCTCCCAAGAAGGCTGGGGTCTGAGAGGTGTATCCAGGGCTGCGTCAGACCGCCTCTTCCCAGATAGCAAAGGCCATCCTTATCTGGCCTCAGGCCACAGAACAGGTTGTGCCGGTCCCTATATCTCCCGGGAGATAGGCCAGGCCCGCTTAGCCCAGTGGGCTGCACCGCCCATTCCCGCATGCTGGCCACACAACCCCAGCGACGCTGGCCACGGTGCTCTGGGCTGGGCCTGGGCCACAGGGAGGTGGCAGAGTGCCCGGGAGTACATTGGCCACCAGCTTCAGGCGGACACCACCATTCTGGTTTGGTGTCTGTGAGTTTTTGTTGATTTGTATTTTTCAAACAACAAATCACTTTCACCTGGTGACTTTCACCTGGTTCACACATCAAGCTCCGTAAGAAGGTGTGTGCTGAAGCTTGAGCTGTTCCCTGACTGGCACACGGCCACTCAGAAGGTCCACGTGTGTCCCGGGAATAAAGGCGGAAGGAAAGCACCCAGCATCCCAGCTTGGTGGCCAGCGGCCTCCTCTAATGCCTGTGCTTCCACATTCTCTGCTCAGCATAAACCACAGGACATCACCCAAAACGCTGCTGAACCTGCCGCTGCTGAACCATGCACAGACAGGCGGGAAACTTGTGCTCGAGAAACCCCAGGCTACTGATTGTGTGCAGCCCCCGGCCTCCCAGGGCTGTCCATGGGCGAGCTGTGACCCCTGCTGAAAATGGCCCAGAACGCTGGTGGGTTTAGGGTGTGAGCCTGGAGCCAGTGGGCCTTGGCCAAGGGGAGGGTACAGGTTTTTGGACACAGCCCGTGGTGGGGAATGTGAGAGTGTGAGGGACTGGCCCAGGCACCTTCCTGCCCTGCCCTACATCCTGGAGGCTGAGCCAGGTGGTCTGTCTGTGAACCCCTAGTGGGCCTGGTGGGCTTCACAGAGTGGCCAGGATTCCAGGAGCAAAGGCCCAGGCATAGAATCTGGGCTGGCTCTTGGCTGCTTGGGGCCGGAAGTATGACCTGGCCATGTCGGGGCTGGGCCCGGCCCGCCGAGCACTGCATGTGGGGCCTGACAGTGTCACTTGGACCTCCGGGCACCGCTGAGACCACACTGTTGGTGGTGCCAGTGGGGGCTGAATTTGTGCCGGGGGCGCTGTGAGTCCACGCCTGGCTCAACTCTCAGACAGATGGGGGTGGGGTTGAGACCGCAGACATTTGGGCTCAGTGAGGAGAGCCAGGGAGAGGGCAGGCTTCGGCCCAGGGAGCTCCTTGTGGCTGCTTCCTGGTCTCCAGGTGGGGAAACTGAGGCCCAGCGAGAGGAAGTGCTTTGCCCACAGCCATGGGGCAGGGGTGCGGAGCTGAGCCAGGGCCCGCCCTGTGACAGTGAGGGGCTACCTGGAAGCTGTGTGGATTCCTGTTCCTCCCAGAGAGTCTCACAGCCGTGGGCAGGGGCTGCTCCCTCAGGGGAGGTGGATGCAGGGGCCATGAAAACAGTCACTGGCCTCTCGGTCCACGTGGGTGCCCGCCACCTGTCCAGGCCCTGTCTGGGGGCCAGCAGCTCCCCAGGCCCTGCCATGGCTGGA